AATCAAATTTTAATCTAACTGTCAAGGATAAGAGATTGAGCAAACACTCCCAAGATTCTAACTGTCTGTGATCACATGGTGAAGCAACCTAACAAGTTCTTACTAAAAACTTTAAGAGAGTAGAGCTAGGAAGCCGTTCACAATACGATCTTCTCTACCTCATTATCACCTCTTGCTTTTCTTTGACCCTGCATGTGTCTATCTCTAAGTCAGGGACTCTTCCATAATCCTACCAACTACCAATCAATTGTGCATCCATCCATCTCTCCTGGAGGCCCCGCTTTGTCCCCCTCAAGCTCACCCCCTCCCTTTTTCACCGTAATCCCATTATCATGCCGTGAGCTTAGCCCCCCTACTTACACGCACCCCATTTTATATGAGCATCGCGCCGATGAGGTGCGCTATACACCTGAGCGCATTCTCATTTCGGGGCACCTCGTCTCGCTCGCTGGCGGATGACCGCACACCGAAGTGCACAATCCGCCACACATCGCTCTTGTTTTTCTTGCGGCGCACACGGAGAAGGCGATCGTGATCCGTGTAGCAATTCATAATATTGATTGGAAGTACTTGTTTGTGCATGAGATTCAAGAAGGAAGGTGTTTTTTTGTTATTACCAATTTGCTTTGGAACTTACCCCATGGACATACTCTCTCCCCTTTGGAATATATCAGTGATTCACTTTCCAATTCGGATAACGCAGAGGGTAAGACTTTATCACTTCACAAACTCAAACGTATTTACCTTAATTTACCTTAGTCGTTCATCATTAGCATTTGACGTTGTCCGCTAATTGCGCTCACCTTGTGGTTGCCATTGATGAAGCCAACACTTAAGAAGGGGCCCATTGATTTTCGACGCGTCTATTTCTTCAACAGTTGTTAACGAGACTGCAAACACGTCTTGAGAAAATGCACAGGTGTGTCTGATAGTTCAAGGTTGTCTGCACAAACTTGAATGATGCAAAAATTGTGTATTTTAGTTGTTACGCTTCTGTTTTATTGAAACATACAAGACTAATTCAAGGTCCATTCAAATACAAGGTGCTGATGACTTTAAAAATATATTCTTAGTCATTATGAGCTTTCCTATTTGCCTTTTATATGTACTACATTACATGTATATAAGTTAACAACTGAATTATTCATTACCTTTCCAAGTTTATTTATTTATTTAAGTATGTGAAAATTTCATTTGTCACAATGTATGTTTCTTGAGTATGTGATATATTAAAGCATACATCTAAAATTATTCAACAAAGGCTCTAAATGAACCAGTCCACTTTTCATTCTTGAGTTAAAAAAAACAAACATCAAATTTACAAAGGGTATGAACAATTTAGTTGTTAACCTTATATAGATCTCTCTTGCATCCTTGCATAAATATATACCGGTATATGTTTGTGTATATCTGATGGTGCCGTGTCTCACAACATTATTTCATAAGACTTATACAGTTGTTATTTTGCTATTTGCCTTATCTTGTAGGAGGTAGAACTCATTTAGTAGTAACCGGTATATTTATTAAGAAAAATATCATATACAAACTTTTTACAAATAAATAGGATTGTAAGAGATGTGCTTTAGTGAGGATGATGTCACTGTAGGGGGTATTGCAAATGAACTGATATTTAGCAGTAGCTTATGTGATACAGTAGAATTATGAATAGTGCTTTGTGTATCAACCGTGGCACAAAAGTCCCTTTTATATTCCATATCTCTATCATTTGTACTTGAAACGTGTTAAGCTGAAAGCGAGGTAGTCATTCATGCAGTTTCGCTGACTGATTCGTAATGCGTCATTGATATCATTGTTTGAAAAGATAACATGGAAGGATGGTTGAAAAATATCAGATATGACTACTCTATTTTGTTAATCATGTTTGTGAGTTTCGGTTATTCATGTGGTGTACAAAAGTTTTATTCAAAAACATAAAGAATAATCCATGGCATTGTCATAGAGGAAAGAGGCTGATTATGTTTGAAGGAATCTCAATCACAATAAGTGTTCTATATTTATGAACTCAGTAGGAAAACTTATTATAACTCAAAGAATCATTGATATTTGTGGAAGTAGGAAAAACAATGATTGTTTGTGCGAATTACTTTTAAAAGCAATGTTTGAACCAGAATTTCCAATTGTTACAAGGAAATAAAATCATTAATTTCTTCACTGTGACTATATGAGCTTACAGATGTTTGCTAAAACATGATGAAATCTTGATACACTTATCTATTCAATAATTTACTGAATAATTTAAAATCTATATTTTATTGATCCTAATGAGACTTAAAATATATTAAATATTTTGTTGATGTTATCTTTGTAATTAATATCTCTTACATAAATATCTTGATACGCTTAATCTTTTCAAAAATTGACCAAAGAGTTTGTTGTCGCCATATATACCTAAAATCTATATTTTATTGATCCAAATTGGAGTGAAAATATTTAAAATATTTTGTTGATGTTATCTTTGTAATCAATATCTCTTAAATAAATATCATGATACACTTTTAATCAGAACAGCATGATGTATGATGACAAGCTCAATCAATACATTTTGATATCAAAGACTTTGTTTATGATGATGGTATATACAGACAGTCTAATGCAGAATTGATTAAGGTACATGTAAAGTCTATTATCAGAATTGTAAATGCAATATGTTTGCTATGATGTTTTGCAACACTGACCCCAAATTGACCCCCTTAGCTTTTTTCTTCAGGAGAAAAGAAAAAGAGAAAATGTTCTTTAAATCTTACAAACTTAAGCTTCATTTCAAATCAATGGCTTTTTGGTTCATTTTAAAATTTTGAAAATAACTTTCATTGAAATATTTAATCATTTGACATATTTAGGTCTAATCAGAATGAGGAAATGAGTAATAATGACAAAGGAAAAGAGGGGGGGGGGGTCTAAAGTAAACTTTGTGTGCAATGTAACCCAGAGCCAAGAAAATACATTTTGGAAACTTTTCAATATAGCTTAGTATAAGTAAACACTCCCAATCACTAAAAACTTAGTGTGCACCATATGGCCTGTGAGGTTGGAGAGACTCTCCCTGATAAGGCCAAGCAAAGTATTGGATACGTTTAATCATATAATTGTCACAACAAAAGAAAACTTTTTTTATTAATATCTAAAAAAATACTCATATTAACTGCATTTTTATTTCTTTGCTTAGGAAGATCTATGTCTATATCAGCATCAATAAAAAACTATATATGACACACATTTATCAGTATGTCAATATCATCACACTAGTATAAAACTTATAATGATTATAAACTGACAGTTTGTTTGTATATTAGGTCTCCCCAATATGTTTCCTTAAGAGTAATAGTAAGGGTAATCAGTGCATCCAAAGTACAACCACTTTGTCAATCTGGGGTATTGCTAAATCTTTAGTCAGAAGGGAACCGCTTAAAATCGATGATTAACTCCCCCAAATAACACCCAAAAAAGAAGGAAACTGGAACACTTCAATCGCCAAGAGAACCATATGAACCAGGGCGACACAGTTCTTCTAAAGCCCTCAATATTGTACTTCATTGTCAACTTGTCAAACTAGAGACTCATCAATTTGAAATTGAGCTCTCATCTGGGGGGTGTTTCACAAAGCCTTTTTTCAATGACAAATGACAAAAACCAGTGACAACTCTGCTGACAACCAATCAGAAGCAATGATTTCACTAGCTTGTATCAGAAACTGTCATTTGTCACTGATGACAAGTTTTGTGAAACACTCTCCAGGTGTCTCTTGACAAGGGTCTGTGCGCACCTGTCATACCCTCTGTCAGAGCCAGAAGGCCATCAATTAGTATTACTACTAACCCTCTCTTGGCTCTCAGTAAATGATATCGTCTGTTTGGAGCCAGAAGGGCATTAACCAGTTGGCTACCGAGCTCTCTTATTCCTGTATGCTCAATACAGGGACCAACCAGTTCCCATACTCAATGGGATACCTCTAGGAAATGATATGAGTTGATGGTCTCCTGGCTCCAAACAGATGATATTCTGCGAGTATTCTTCCCTTGTCTTTAATTACTCATCATAATTATGTCCTGCAGAAAGCAATACTTGACAAAATCCCAATAATTTAGTGTATTCAATTCCAGTGCTCACATCCCTCTACTTGGCTCACAACATATACACCTGTTTTGTTTTGTTGTGCGAACACAGTCTTCAGGCGTTGTTGTGGTCACGTGACCTCGTTTCACCCACTGACTAATTATCAACAAATGTTTGCATGCCACTTGGAGTTTGGTTCGTCCTCTTTAGAGTGCCAAAGTACCATGAGGTGTCATTAAAAAACAAAGGGGGAAGGGTTGTTCTTCGGTTGTGAGAGTAAATTGATATGTTTTGTGTTCTTTCGATGATGACTCTGGTTTCGAGTGGACAGTACACTACTTTATGTTTTGATGGGTGCTGATTGCTTAATTGTTTGTGAAACCTGTATGTTTAAAAGGAGGCAGAATGGCGAGTACTCCAGATGAAGATGAAGATGATTTGGGAGACAATCTTAAGAAGGCAGGAGGAGATGAACATGATATCATTCATGTAAATGGGAGTGGGAATAGAAAAAGTAAATTTGATGATAGTGTGTGCCAAATGAGAATTCATGTTAGCTATTTGGAGATTTATTTCCTAGACACTCATGGATATAGTTCAATGCTTGCCTGGGACTCTATTTAATTACCGTACTGCTATATGTTTTTGGATGCCTGTGTGAGGTCTGCTGTATTTGAACACATCAGTTCCATAGTCTGTATCTATGTATTTGGCGCTATATAAAAGCGGAATATTATTATTATTCATCTAACTCCTGCCCAAAAGATCTCATTGCAAGCAATGGTTCCGAACTTAGATATTTTGTGCACGATGATATTTTCAACATTGTACAAATTCATCAATAGTCATGAAGAGATGTGAGGAACAATGTAATTGTTTGTGTTTCTTTGGAAGTAATCATTATTCATTTCGTCTTGTTCTTTCAGATGAAATTCTTCTGTCCGAGGAGGAATGTCCGCTGGACATAGCTGTAGAAAGCAAACGCAAAGTCCGGTTTGTTCTTAAAGTTCCCCAGGATCAGGACATGGCGAATCAAAATGGGGCCCTACCAGGCCTTACAGACTCCGCCCGGCACAAGATGCTCAGCAAATTCTTTGGAGTTAACACCAGCGAATTGACTCTACCTTTCTCCCAGTCTTTACCCTCTACACACGATCACCTGTCCAACGGTTTCGACTCCCCACGCTCGGACACCCATTCCAACAGCGATGCCATCAGTCTCAGCAGCAGTAACAGCAGCAGTAGCAGCTTTTCAAATACCCAGCGAAAAACCAGAGGACAAAAACCTGTACTTGGTTCAAATGGGGTGACAGGATTATTACTTAAACCGCAGACTCCTCGCTTCAAGCGGAAGGCACCGGGCCCTGGACATGAGCACAGGAATATACGCCCACCTAACAGGACGCAGAAAAAGAGACACAGGCCAAAGTCACTGACCTTGATGCTTGAAAGGAGTCTGAGCTTGAAACGGAGGCAAAATGGAAGTGGTAGGAGTCAGAATGGTAAGGAACTCTCAACAGAGGAATCAGCTCCTGGAGTCCTCAAGGTGTTCGGAGACTCCATTTGTCCTGGATCAAATTATAAGAGTATACTTGCTTCTGCCAGTTCATCGGCTGTTGAGTTGGTGAAGGAAATTTTGACCAGGTATTCTCTACCCCGAAGTGCACATAGGGAGTATGTTCTATGTGATGTCATTGGAAAGTTTATAAGTAGGAAGCAAAATGGACTAAAGAAGACAGAAAAGGAGGATTCTCAAGACACATGGATTGAGGAATGTGTAAGACCACTTGCAGACAATGAGAAACCACTGCTGCTGCAGTCTTTCTGGAAGCCTGATGATGGTCTGGTGAGGCGATTTGAGATCAGGAGGCGACTGGATCTCCCACCAGAGGAGATAGACAGCATCACGTCGGGTATCAACAAGAATGCCAGGAGGCTTCAGATGTCCCGGTCACATGCGGTTCCCAATGAGACCTGCCTGGACAGATTGGACAATGGCGAAAACGGTGTGGATATGGAGAACGGGTTCTTCAATGGAGACCTTGCATCCCATTCCAGCCCAAGATCAAGCATCATCCGCTCTCAGGACCAGAACCTGAGCATGGAACGTGAGGAAACGGAGAGCAGCGATGAGCCACTCGCTTGCAACATCAGAATGCCTTCGGAACTGCCATATTTCTTGACCCTCCATGGGTATGACAACCAGGATCTGTTGATGCACATGCTCACCAAGGAGGTGATGCTTGTTGGCAATAGACACATTGAACCTGAGGAGGACGATAGCGACGAACTGTATACAGAAGGCGTTGACATCTCTTTGGAGGCCCCCGATATCTTGCCACAGCACTGTTGGGTCTTCCGCCAACAGAGACATCTGGAGGGCCAGGAAGACTCGAGAGAGGAGGAGAGTGAATTCGTTGTAAGGCTAGAGACCCTTCCCGATGCGCATGTCATCATCAATGGCGTTCCTGTTACGGGAAGCGCCACTCTCAACCCGGGAGACTTTGTGTGCTTCGGCCACCACTACGCATTCATGTACAAGGACCCTGCGGCCTGCACGTCTCCGGCCATGTTCCCCTGGAGCATCCCGGCCACCATGACCCAGAGGCGCTGGGTCGCCCCCAACCAGTATCTTGCCCAGAAAGCCAAGGACTACGCCAACGACAAGCAGAGGATTAAGGTCTTGTACAGACCTCACGATGAGGACCAGATCATCGGATGGATCGGACAACACCTGGAGAAGGCGGACACCAAATGTCCTCTTGGGATCTCCTACCTTCTAGCTTCAATGGTGGAATACTCCGCCTACCACTTCCACCAGACCAACGCAAAATCACTCATCATCAAAACATCAACTCTCATCCAAGGCATCGCATGGGTAAGAATAATTTTGATAATTTGATCATATCACTCACTATCTTAGTCCCTTTTCATTAAACCCATTTTCAAAGAACATTTTTTAAACCCCCAAATTATGGTTTAGTTCTTACATTTTGAAATTTACATCAATTATTTGTGGATGCACACTAGAATAAGAAAGTTATATTATCAAAATGACCTATCCAATTAGCAAGTATAAGTTTTGTATGTGTCATGATTGGCAGATTGTTTATCGGTTAAGATGTGCTTTTCTTGATAAAAATCACACAATTATTCCACTTCAAACTTTTGACAGGTTATGTTAAATGTGTACACATGTACAAGGCGTGAAGAAAATACATCAGACTCAGGGGGGGGGGGGGGGGGGGGACGATGGAAAATTTGAATTCTATTTTGTTTAAAGAGAACCAATGAATTTTTCACAGACTGCATATATGCAGGTGTGAAGTAGTACGTGAAGCACAAATTAATGATTGGAAAAATCAATACGATAGCAAAGCATAACAAACAAAGGTAATGCAAGGTTATACTTGTAATACAATAGTACGGTTCTTTATTCACGCTACTCCAACTTGCATTCCTTCGTTCTGAAATAATTCTTTTAAAAGCTTGTTTTGAATTAAAAGACAGATAAAAACACATGTTAAGTCAAAGGAGAAGAATTTAAGTCAAAGGAAAAGAATGTTACCTCACATACCTTCCTGAAAAGCTATTGCTCTCATTTAAAGTCGAACAATAAAACTAGGTGGTGTAAATCAATAAATCGCTCTAGTACATGAGACTTAATTCTAAGAACTGTCACAACCTAAGGGTGTGAATTCCCTATCACATCTACTATTATGTCAATTGCTGAGAGCTAGTAGGGTGTTACCTCCATGTATTAAATAGGAGATAATGCCTTTATGGCTTTCAACATATGATGTTATATGTGTAGTTCTTAAGGCCACTGAACAATTCACTTTCAGATTATAAGTATGTTTTAAGGTTAGAGAACAGGGATCATATAAAAAAAAACACCTTACTAAGCCTAGTTTTCAACTACCCGTATGTACTACACAGCTAGCTTAATAAGGTTTTATCGATAGCAGCCCAAGGGGGTGTTTTGTAAAGATCCTAAGTTGAACTTATCTCTAAGTTGGACTAAACAATTATGGAAAGCCGTTAGCATCTTTGGGAATATTTTGGAAAAGTTATTTTCAAAGGCATAAAATGTTGATTCAAATCATTCATATTTTCTTTTATCTAGGAGATTTCATGTTCTTGATGTGGAATTTATGAAAAGTCTAAAAACTTAAATTTTTGGTTTTTAATATACCGGTATTCTATTTTAAGGCTATAAATGGCTCTTCATAATGTTTAAATCCAACTAAGAGTTAAGTTCGACCTAGGATCTTTGTGAAACACCCGCTAGGTCTAATAGGCTCTGAGTTAAAGTTATCTTGTGTAGTTGCACATCTGGCTACCAACTTACACAGCAGGTGGTTGGAAGGCTTAGAATACCTTGTCCTTTTGATATTTTTTAATTTAATTCTTCAAATTGGACCTCAATCAAATTTATATTTCATCCTAGGGTATTTTTTTTTCAAAAAAAATAATACTTAAAGTCTGATCATAAGGAGTGCAGTGCAATGAAAAAAACACCTAATCGATTTGTCCATTACACATGACAAGATACAATTATGATGAAGTAAAATGTAAATTTATGTCATTAGGATTGATTGAATTTATACAGGGCTGAAGTCATTAAACAGATAGTAATACAAGGTCAATAAAGCCAGTGTGCTCCAATTATCAGCTTGTACCATTGAAAAGTTTATATACACAGGAACATTATTGATTGAAAGTTGTTTTTTTCCAGAAAACTTTTGTAAATCTCAATCTTCATATGCCTCGAATGTATTGGCTAGGACTTTTAGTGCCCCATAAAATTCATAGTCTGAGATCTATATTATGTTATAGCTAGTATTTAGAGTCTGTAATTATCTATTACAATGCTCAACATGATGTGTAATGCAATTTATTAATCCAATTGAATGATTTTGTCATGTCTGTCGTTAGCATTCCTCTTCAAGATACTTGTAATGTGATATTGATTTTCTTTCTCGTTGCTGTTTTAATCCCGTTTCAATCCGATTTTAAGAAAAGACAGGTTATTTGGGTCACTGGTTCTTGACCTGTTTGTGCACCTTTTTTCTTCTCCCCTGTGGTCTTAAGCCCTAAAGACAAATCAATTTTTGGCCATGTAGATCTGTTAAAGCATAAAGCCTTCGGTTAATCACCTGTAACCTTTTTTAGTGAAGATAATCATGCTTCGTCCTATTCATGGATGTTTTTCTCACAAACATATTCTCTATGATGGGGAATAATAGTTAAGTTTCCCACTTTCCAACATTTTAAAGAAGACTTTCACAGGACCCCATGGAAGAACAGTGGCATTATGTAAATGCCACTGAAAAGGCTATCTGCCATATTTATATTTATGATTTACCATGTATATTGTAACTTTTTAAAATTATTGTTATGGAAATAAACAAACAAACAAACAATCAAACTCAAACTTTAGCTTTCTAACCAAAGATGACTTATATTTTTATTGGTTATATTGAAATAGTTGAGGAAATTGATTGCAATGCCATAATTAAGGAATGAATATTATAATAAGACTTATAATGATATGAATAATATATGATCAGCATCTCAATCTCACTTGAACTTATGAAAAGAAACAAATATGATAATGATAATGGTATCATACTTATGGCTTCACTTTCATTGGCTATATATGGGCCTAAATGACATTTCCAGTTACCGGTAGTTTATATTCATTTTTAAAGACACTTATCATCATTTTCTTCATTTTTATTCCCTACAGGATACAACTAAAAGTCTTGCCAATCGCCCAACCGAAAAGTAAGTATCGACCTATGGATTCATGTGTTCTTAATGTTACGTTGAGGTATAACCATAGTTTAGGCGATTTCGCCTGGGAGCCAAGCTATTACTAACCCAATTCAAGCAAAGGTTGTTCAAAGTGCTAGCTTAAGTGACAGATTCGCCTGCCCTAAGTTTGGCCCTGCGCTTGTTGATGTCATTTTATTTGCAGAACTGTCAATTCATGTCCTACGAAATGTGAAAATGATCGATGCTAATAGAACAGGAACCGGTTTGTAGGTGGAATATTACTCTGGTGAAAACTGCGATAAAATATAAACTGTCCACTCATGTTCATCGTAAAAAATGATCCCAAAGTCAGTTATGCACTGAAATCATTGGTATTTACTGAAATCTGATTTACTCTTTGCACTGAAAATTCAATAAGTAAGATTTAGGGCACCAAATTGTGAAATTTTCAAGGATTTTTAAACTATTTTGTATAAGTGACATGGCATTTTTTTTTTCTTCAGAACTTCAAGTATCTTTCAGAGCTTCTTCCTCTGTCTTACCTTGGAAAATATGGTCATTTTGAGCCATGAGAAAGCAAGATCAGGGATTCATAGATGATGAAAGGGTTCTCTCAAAACTGTGTCAATTTTAGGGTCATGGTGTAACTTAGTGCTCTTGCCATTTTGCAGGCTTTTGATTGAAGGAAAGTAAAAAAGCAAAATTCATGTTCGCTTCTTTCTTGTTAACATTTGATTCAAGTAGGGAACATTGTGGAATTAACAAATATTTCTAATTTCAGGGGAGGATCGAGGAGTATAAAAAAGGGGTGGGGCAGAAATGTGTAACAAAAAAGGTTAAAGATACACAATTCATGGGAAGTGTTGTGTATTTATCTACTACCGGTATTTTTCTTTTTAACAGGGGAAAGGGAGTGAGGTCTTGGAGCTTATGTGTTATAATTCATCATTGTTATATCTTTATGATAACACTAGATGATCATAATAGTTCAATTATTCATGGAAAATGAACTTGATATTTGGACATGCTGATTTTTCCTTTCAATAAATTAATTTCAAATTAAAGTTTGCTGTAATATAAAAGTACCGGTACTCTAAATATCATTTTGTGCAGGCCTTTAATAGCAAGTACAACACGTACCACCCTATCCCCTGCTTTAGGCTGGATTGTAAAGTTGTTCTTGCTTCAAATCCCCCTCCCAGAACCTAAATACCAGACTTCCCTTCCTCCAAGCTACTGTCAGATCCTGGTAAAAAGGAGAAAAAAAATCAGCTGAGGGAACTATGAGTGTTTGATGTATGACTCCATACTTTTCAGGAAAAGAGAGGAGCAATTAATTATCTTTGCAGGACATACCAACTTCCTCAAAAAATCTCTTTTTAAGCTCTCTTTTCCATTAGTTTAGAGGGGGTGGCAAAATAGATCTTATATGAATCGGTAAGATGAATACAAATATGTACAAAACTCATGGCAGATCTTTTAATTTTAAACATTCCTGCACTGCAGTTAGTTCTGGTATGGTTTATGTATACTATATGAACAAATAATATGGACTGAAAAGATAATTAACCATCATCCCCATTTAACAGTTCATATTTCTTAAAAGGCAACCTAAAATTTGCAAAATCTGGCAACACAGTTGCTTTCCAGGCTTTATTTTGTAATAGGGCTTAGTTATAAAGTCAGGGTCAGAGTTGTAATTGGGTTTTAGGTTAAGTTTAAGTGCTAAATGGGTACCCGGTAGGATGCGAAAGCTAATGTGCTTAGATTAGCAAGTGTGCGCAAATGACGCCTGGCTGGAATGCTCCCCAGGGAGTGGAGAATGTGCATACATTGTGTGCAGGTGAGCCTGAATCCGATGACCGGGGTAATAATATGATTGCAGGGCCCTCAGGGAGTACAGTATTAATACTGATGAGGCTACCCTGGGTAAACAAGACATATTATTATTATTATTAGTATATGGTTGGGGTTAGTTAGGGTTATGGTTAGGGTCAAAGTTGTTTAAGTTAAGAACTTGTTTAGTGTACGATATTGAGGAGCACATGTAGTACAGCTGGTTTAACACATAAACTTCTGAGATAGCTTATAAGCTCTCGATCATCCCTTAACCCATTGCCTACTAAACCTATTGTAATAACAATATTTAGTTGTCGATTGGTTAACAATTCGTATTTGTCAACAATAAACAACAACCCTATTGTCATCAACGGCTGACAACATCACTACCCAAACTGATGTTTTATCACCCCTTCCTCCAGACAGAGATGTAACTCTGCACCCCGGCAGAAAGATCTTATTTATTGATTCCTGCTCATCCTTCCTTAGGATTTAACATTTCCTCATCCCGTCAAATACCCCCATGGGGGGACCGAGCTAGACAGGGGGAGAGATGGGACCATTGCCAATACCCCCTAGAGAGGGCATTAGTACCCATCCTCCATCCCTCCCTCCCAACAATCGAGGATGTTTTTCGTCTGGATCAAATGTCACAGATGTCTTTGTGTTGGGAGCATCTTCTTTGTTTTACCTTAAGGGAATGATATCGGAAATGAAAGATGACGAAATGGGGTGAAAACGATGAGTTAGGAGTCACATTTTTGTTGTTCGGAATGAAAGTAATATAAGGGTTGTGATGAATTTGAACTAGGTTTCAGCTAGGCCAATACATTTTTCCACTAAATTGCTGATCAGGCATAAATCAAGTCAAATATTGATTGATTGTTATATAAAATTTATTTCAAAGGATTAAAATATTGAATAATAGACAATCACAACTTGACTATACAACTTTGAATTTGGCTGCTCAGAGCCAGTAGGATGTTAACTCTGTGTTTTAAAAGCATATGAGTTAATGCCCTTCTGGCTCCAGAAATATACATGTAGTTAAACATGTTTCTTTATTGATATTATCCTTACAAAAAGGTTGTGTAGAGGAGTTTGTCCTTTGAATGTAGTGTAATGGTCTCAAGCTTTTTTGAGCATCTATGAGTCAGTTGTCCAACTCTAAATGATCATGTATGTTTTATAGCAAAGTTAGTGGCATTTGTTGTGTCTAGATCATGTCTGAAATGTGTCTTTAATGTTTAATAACTTCCCATTCTAATAGTCCATTTCCAGATGTAGCAATAATTGGTCATTATCACTGTAATCATAGTCTTCCTGCTGAATTAGAATACAGGGACTGCCCTTCCCTAGTTCACTTTTGACATTGTCTTCTGTGTAATTAAAGGAGTTCTAAGCTTCTTTGAACTTAATCATCTAAAAAGTTAAAATCCAAATAGTTTCGATCTGGAATGTTCCTTCCTTGACAGGCCTGAGGATGTTCATGCTACCATGGCAACGCTCCTCCCCGATCTCCGTCTCCTGCTCATCTGCATGGCCAACGCCCTGGAGCTCCTCAACTTCTACCAGAACCACCTCCACAACTACCTGGCCTCCCAGACCCACCACAAGGAGGGAATCAGCTCCACCCCTTCGACATCGTCATCGTCGTCATCTTCGTCGTCATCGTCGGAGCAGGTGAAGTCTCCCAGGGAGGTGGAGGAGGGTGAGCAAGAGGTCTTGTCCATCTTGGAGGAGGTGATGATGTATACCTTCCAGCAGTGTGTCTACTATCTCACTAAGGTAAGAATGGATAGTGGTATGTGGAGGGGTGGAGGACGGGTGGGGTAGGAGGGTAGGAAAGGTGGACATAGGGGAGATTGAGGATGATGGAGGTTGGGGCATGTAAGGAAGGGGTAAGGGAGGTGTAGAGGGTGTCGGAGAAACAAGGGGTGGGAAAATGTAGGGCGGGTTGGGGATATGTTGGGAGGGCTTGGGAATGGAGTGGAGGGAATGGAGGGAGGAAGGGGGTAGAGATTGGAGGCGAAGGGTAGGGGTACGGGTGTGGAGAGGAGAGGAGGAATAGCGGGTGTGGGAGGAAAGGGTAGGGAGTGGAGGGAAGGATAGGGTTAGGGAGAGTATAGGGAGCGGAGGGGATGGGTCGGAAGTGAAGAGGAATGGAGAAGATGGGTAGGGAGTTGAAGGGAGTGGCACATATATTTATGTTGAAACCTGTAGGATGCAGGAGATGACATACAGTCCCTGTAGTACAACGACCTCAGTTCATGAACAATATTAGCAATGCGTAAGAGTTACCGGTACTATAATCCCAATCCCATTCACTCTCTAAATGCTGACCTACATGTCATAAAGGAATCCTTCAGTGACTAATGATGATCTATTGATCATGACTTTCTTCAACACCATTTGTTTTAATAACAATCTAAGAGATAAAGTCTTTCCTGAATAGATTGCTCCTATTCTGTCTTGTTTCATGAGAAAGAAATGTGATATCTGAATTCCCTTTGCCTGACTCATCAATGAGCCATCGATACCAAACCTACTAACATCACATGACATTCTCTTCAAGTTCAGGAAATTATCTTCAGGTGTGATTTGTTTGTTGATACAACAATCCAAAGGGGTGATTCTTTGCAATGAGAGGTGTCAGTGTCGAGCCTCGTTTTAAAACTCTTTAATCTACATTCCTATTTAAAACATATCAAGTTAAACCAAAGGTGCATTGGATCATGGAGCACCATCTGTCAGTGTCTACTCCATACAAAGTGCTGCAATTCTATAACGACATGAGTAATTGAATTATAATGTAATTACTCATGAAATGAGTATGAGGGATCAATTTCATAATGACATAATTTTTAAAAAATTTGTTCCTTTAGTTACAGAAAGGAGAGGTTGACTTACAGCAGGACTGCACTTCTTGTAGCTACTTGCGCCCTCTATATATTAAACAATGCTGAAGCGGTACCCGTTAGTCCCCCATGATCCCCTTTTTCTTATGTTAATTGAGAACTGATTTGATGAGGTAACCACCTGTCAGTGACCACTCATGGAGGTCTAATAACTCCTGGCCAAACTAGTGCAGATAGGCTTTAAGGTGCTTCATATATCAGTGTACATTAGTCACACCAGCAAGACTGACACCATACTGGCAACTGACCAAACAAAACATTATGTTTACCCCAAATGGCCAATAATTGATCAGTTTAGGGTCTGTTTAGAGTCATTTTGGTGGTGTAAATGAGGTATAACTTTACCCACTCACTTGGGGCTTAAATCTGGATCATTGTTGGAATGATTTTACAAAGCGAGCCTCTATTTTTGTGAAATTTAATTTCCAATTAGCTGGTAGAGCATCACCTCTGGAATAAAAGTAGGTGAACCAAGTAGCTCATGAGTCATTCCCAGGGTCGAATGTCATAATGAGTGTTGTCATGTCATCGTTGTCAAAAGTACAATGATCTTATCATCCTTGGATGATGCCTCTGCATTAGGGACTATCAAATTGGCAACACTTTTGAAACATGAACCGGAGAAACTTACGTGTACAAATGAAAGATGAAATGAATTCAGAGTTCATTAACCATTTTTAAATGTTTGAAATTGTTCTAATCTTTACCGAGCTTGTCTGACATAGAAGCAGCTGATGAAATCTGGGATTAATTTCATTCTATCAAATTGCAAAGCTTTTAAAGCATGATGATAACTAGATAATAGAAGTTTGAATTAATTTGAGGGTTTTTTAAAACAATATTTTGAATGTTAGCATTTTTGAGAAGCAGAGGAACGTGTTTGAGGTTTAAAGCGTTAGGTGTATGTAACTTACCTTCATAAGTGCACAAATCAAATTACTGGATGGGTGAAAAATTTTAGTGGTAATACAACTTTGAGGACAGGAAAATGAATTTGTCAAAACTTTAATGAAAAAAATGACATATTAGGGAAAAAAGCTCTAATGTTTTACCCCAACCTTCTAGCTTTTGGAGTGAAGAGAGGAACATGCGATCTTTATTCTGTTAAGATGGCTTTGCTTGGATAAAACTGCAGCATTAATGTGAAGCCTGGTATATCCTTGTCACGTCTTGGAACCACTCATTACCTGACTCATCTCTTGACGCTTAAAGATAATGACCAGTTATGGTCATGCGATTGCATTGTGAAAGAAACATGGAATCAATCAGAAAGGTTGATCATCTAGCATAGAAGTATTGGTGTGTCCTGCAAGGTTCTGGAATCATCAAAATGATAAGAAATTTGGCCCAGTCTTGGTAAAGTTACAATCACTGTACACAGGAAGATGTATATGGGACTATGCGACACGTGCGCGATATCTATCGGGTCCAAATAGATAATAATTGACCAAATGTATCAATTAGTAAATGTTTTTTCGACAAAATTTGTATCATCACGTACCGTAGTCAAAACATATTCTTTTACATGAATGGCAATAAGAGCTTCCATTTCATTATTTGAGAGGAGGGCGTTTCCAAAACTGGCCTTTACCTTTAAGCCTTGTGCACACGACATGGTTTACCGGTCAAACAAAACTTGCTTCTGCAACAGTTTCTCTGCATTTATTTTGTTGTGTGAACAATGCTTAATCGTCACATGATGAGTCAGGTGATGAGTGGTTCCAAGACGTGACAAGGATATACCAGGCTTTACATTAATGCTGCGGTTTAATCCAAGGAAAGCCGTCTTAACAAAATAAAGATTGCATGTTCCTCTCCTCCCTCTAAAACAACTTGCAAGTCACGAACTGGAGATTAAGTTTTAGTTGCGTGTTTGGAATCTTCGGAAGGTGGTTCTTGGTGTAGTAAATTTTCTCTAATTCTACTTTATTCCATGGTGGATTTGGAGATGTAATTGATCTAAGCTGGAAGGGGATAAATAGAAACATCATGGGAGGGGGAGGGATGTAGGGAGAGAGGGAGACAGAAGGGAGGGAAGGAGGAAGGGAAGAGGGTGGGAGGGGTGAGAGAGAGTGAGAGTAGAAGAAAGAAATAGAGAGAATTAAAAGAACGGAGAGGGCCAGTGAAAGAGAAAACTAGACAAAGAAGCCTAATAACGCTGCTGTTTTTAACTTCATGAACTTTCCCCTTCTAGAATTTGTGTTTTTTCCTCTCCCTCTCTCTACATAAAAACTGTACAATGTAAATTTGGTATTCTGACTTTCCCTTTCTTCTATGGAACCTTCTTTCATTCCTAGTACCCCCATCAATTATTCTTCTCTCTTTTTCTCTTAGTTCTTTAATGAATATAATGACCTATCCACTCTCTCTCTCTCTCTCTCTCTCTCTCTCTCTCTCTCTCAGTTCAGTCAGATTAAAAGTAAAATTTGTGAAAACAATGCTTTAAATTGAAAAGTCGTCTTAATCTCTGATTAATTTTCCAGAAGTGGGGCCGTCTTTAATATGGATAATTAAAGGCCCTTCCTGCATATTGGGAAAACATACCTTCCAGCAAAAAGATATTGATTTTCATTGAAAGATCATGTTTATCTCCAATTAGTTGTATGGAAGTCCGATCCTCTTGTATAACATGAAAAGCCCTTCCTGCATATTAACATAGAAACATATTTTGGAGACAGCCCATTCCTGTTTTTAGATTATTTACCAGATTCCAGGGGTCTTTGCTGAGGCCTGGGAATATTTGCTGAGGTCTAGGAATATTTGCTTGCCAGAACTAAGAAATTGAATTGAATATTTTCATAATTTATCGAAGGGTAACATTGTCTTTCCTTTTACATAACTCATAAGGATCTGGGACTTCTAGAGGTAAATGCACTTTTTTTTTTTAGTGAGTGAGAATCAGCGAAATTTCCTTAATTTCCTCCTAAAATTAATGGATTTTGTCATAATTTTAAAAATCTCTTTTGAAAGTAAAAGAAAAACAGTTAAGCATTCCTTAATATACACCTTTATAATAGCATGTGATTTGGCTGAATGCGAATGGTCTTTATATCCAAAGTGTGTATATATGCAAGATCTCATAGATAAGATTCTGACATTGCAGACTTAGGGGGAAAGCATATAATCATGTTCGAGAGGAAGAGGGGGAAATTTGGGGGAGAGCAGGGGGGCTTAGAATGGTTTTCATTCGGAAGTCTGCTACATAGTCTGAGAATGTAAACCCAATATCCTAGGAGTCGTTTTCATTCATAGTGGGGAGTGTCTGCCCTTCCTCAAAGTCAAATACAGGAACTTCTCTTGATGTTCTCCAAGATCTTAGATTAGGCAGAAGGGCTAGCATGCATTAAAGGCATCGTTTAACCGTGAGATGCATGGCCCTACATATTATCAGTGTCTGTAATATGGTGTAATATTGAAGCCCTAAAAAGATTGTGCTTCAAAATGGTCATGAAGGGCCTCAAAAAATTAAAAATCTTTGAGTGATCGGTTTTACCATACTCTTTTTCCCCAATAGACTGTAGTGTTATGAAATCCAGAATTTGAGACAAAGTTACCCAATTCCTATAATAATGTGATATTCATGAACATGTTACTGCTAAGTTTCAGTTTCAGTTTCTTGCAACAGGTAAACTTCACAATAACTAAAGCTGCAATGCAATATGAAATAAAGAATGTACTGAAAAAAATCACATAAAATCAAGTTATTATGATGATATTATTGACAAGATTTTGCAGAAGAAATAGTAACCCTACAATGAGTAAATATGAAAGTTACAAGAGGAGCTAAAATTTGATTAATTTCAATACCTCATAGGCTACTGGATCTTTCAATATACTATACACTGACCATTAGCAAATTTCCAGTAATACTTGAGTCCAAATAAATATGCTTCTCTTTTTGTTGTTTTAGGCCCTCAAAGCTGAGAGTTAATATTACATTCATCTGCATATTTCCATAGCCTATATTTGCTGACTAATAGTAATTACCTGGTAATATTTTCAATTCTTTTTGGTTATGTTATTTGCAATTTCAGACCCTCTACGTAGTCCTGCCTGCAGTTCTAGATTCAAACCCCTTCCTTGATGAACCCAGCGATGGACGCAGCTCGCCGAGCAACAGCGGCATGGAGAAGGTCATCTACGTCTTTCAGTCGACCTATGACCTCCTGCACGAGGTCGGAGTTCATTCCCAGATCACCTCACAACTCTTTGCCTACCTGCTCTTCTTCACCAATGCATCTCTCTTCAACATGCTCATGGAAAGAGGTTTGTTCAAAGTCCCTTCTGTTTGTACCATTCATTACCTTTTTTACAGCCATAGACCCTTTGGTCTGCTTTGTACTACAACTTGATGCTGACTCCTGAGGGAAGAGCTCAGGCTAGGTCGAGTTTACCAAAGTCACGACTGCAGTGACTTTCAATTGAACCCATCAACTTTGAACTGAATTCTTGTATTTCCAGGAACTTTACGCAGGTCCCATTTGGCTCCCACATGCCACTGATTAAGTTGCTTTGTTAAACTTGACTTAGATTGTGTTTGAGTATATTAGTATTCAACCTGTGTTCCTTTTTCAGTCTCAGTCAATTGCCTTCATTTAATACTGATACACTCCACCTAGATCAAGAGAGACAGCTGCGTACTGCCAAATTCATGTCCAATAGAGTTCTACATGACATGTTTTTGTAAAAGCATGTCAATCGTCCCTCAGAACAGTCTTGGACTAATCGCTTGATCTTAGGGATGCATTTTTACGTTTGTACATTACTGGAACTAAATTGATCCATCATCATTTTTTTAAACCAAGTCTTGAGGCATTTAAATATATTGATTTAATTCAATTTGTATAACGGTCAGAAATATCCCCAAAAATTCTTGATGGAGACCAACAGGCACAAATCTATTGATAGTTGGAATAGTCTGATTACCGATTTACACAAGACAAGTAGGCTACCTCATTGGGCCCAGGCCTAATCCTTTATAGAGATTTGATAAGCCCTGTGAACTGACCTATTCTGATCGAAAGCTCAAATCAAATTACACACTTCATCAGCGATGACAAACCCTGATGATTTGTCAAAAATAATCGCTGCAGGTCACTGACGATGACAACTGGTGGGGGTCTTGATTCTTCAATATTTAGCACGATGGCCTTCACCGTGGTACACTTATTTCTCATCGTGCTAATTGTTGTATTCTGTCTTCAACCTCGTTTTGGGCAGAAGTTACTGCTGTCACTTCTTATGTCTTGCACAGGTCTTCAAGCAGTAGATGTATAGTGCTCATGGTTTGTCCCAAGGTGTACCTTTTAGATATACAGAGCTCTACCATATCCTAAGCTATACTTAATGCACTTGTAAACTTGCAGATCTATAGGCCATTAGCTAGCTCTCTCGTAAGAAAATCAAAATGAAGGGGGAAATTTTGCAAATTAGATATGGCAGACTATCTTTTTGAAAGAATAATCTATCAGAATTTGAGATAGGTAATATTGTAAAAACATACACTTGTATTGAAATGATCAACTAAAATTGGGATATTTGATTTGTTGTATATATATATTTCAATATTTTAGACATATTATCATATCTTTTTGAATCTGATAGTCAAAGTTGAATTTTGACTCGCTAGCCCACATTTTCCCTTTAAAGCTTATCTGCCATAGTTTACAGGAGGGATTAGACCGCCCTACAAGGTCACTGGACAGGTGGTTATCTCATCAACTCAGCTCTCAGTTAACATAAGAAAAGGAGGATCATGGGGGACCAATGGTCACCGATTAAGCATTGTTTGTTATATAGAGGGCGCAAGTAGCTACAAGTAGTGCAGTGGGCCTTTAAATTGCATCCACCTGTTTGACTGATCTATGCATCATCATCATCGTAATGAAGTTACAACTGTGGAAACAAATGCTATTGTCTGAATCATTTGCAGAAGAGGCACAGAACAATTCATTTTTCAGGAGAGTCTAGCATCGTTGGTCAAAATTTGAAACAGTCGGTGGTCTTGCCTGATTGAGATACATACAGATGCCAAATAAAGGATAGTTAGAATAACCCCTCTGCCTTTTGATAATCAAGTGTTGTTCTCACACTGATCTAGCCTTTAAACAAGGCCACATGCCTGATAGACGCCGAGCGACTAAAAAGAGACTAATCGCGAAAACCTGAATGAACGCCAGTGCGAATTGTCCAGACCTGTGGCCTTTATCAATCCGGTTTGGATTTCTTATGTTAACCCTTGTTTCCGACTGGAACTCGCTTCAGAAAACGTAGAAAACGTATCCTAGCACGACGTCAACATATAGTATCCATCACACACACACACACACAGTAAACTCTACGTAGTGCGAACATGGACCTACATGCCTACTATACGTACGTGCTAAGACCACTGACCACTGACCTCTACATGGAACGAATCACGAACGAAGCCAACTAGGAGATCGCCGTTCTGATTGGTCAATGAATCCAAAGTAGGCGTATTGGCCTACATTCTATGAATAATTCATGCGGAGCAGTGAAACCCACTTTCCAAAAGGCCTCATGACATTCGTCATTCGGTCGCGCATTCACTCCGGGTATCTAGACTCATCTCAGCCGCTTAGCCAGAGTCAACGAGGCCTTGTCAAAAGGCTAACACTGATCAAGAGATGAAATTGTGTCAGGAATAGTTTTGTGTAAGGACATATTGCCAAGAGAGAGAGAGAGAGAGAGAGAGAGAGGGGGAGCATGTGTGTGTGAGGGAGAGAGAGAGAGAGATGTAGTGTGTGAGAGAGAGAGAGGGAGAGAGAGTGTGTGTGAGAGAGGGAGAGAGATAGAGTGTGTGAGAGAAAGGGAGAAAGAGAGAGAGAGAGAGAGAAAGAGAGAGAGTGAGAGATAGATAGATAAATAGAGAGAGAGAGAGAGAAAAAAAAAACTAAAAGTGAAAGGGAGTCCCTTCATTCCCTTGCTGCTTATATACCTGTATAACTATTCTTGTGGACCTATGTAGGTGCTAAAAGGAGGTACAGTGAGTAGTGTCCTGTCATTGTTCTCATGCAGGCTGAGTGGTACTGTTGAAATAGACCTGTAGACCAACGTCAAAAGTATCACTCATCTTCACAGGAAATTACCATAAATATGGCACAAAGACAACAGCAACAAAGCACTGACCTGCTTTTACAGAGACTCTGACTCTGAGAGACTGTGATCCAGGTACTTTCCTTGAACTCTGGTAGTACTCTTTCCTTCAGGATTATTCACCTCTTGGTTATTAAAAGACATTGGACGTAGCCCTTTAAATCATGCAACCTATTTCTTGGTATGCTTGTCCAAAGTTAGTAAGATTTCCTAGGACACAGTATTCGATCATGGCATGGTTACTACATCGTTGCAGCCATTGTATTATAGTATTGCATATATGATATTGAAATGTGGTGTGGCATTATTGAAGGATGATTATTTCAATATTATTGAAAATCTAACTCCCCTGAGATTATATTTCACTATAATTCAGAAGTTGAACAATTGTTATGCTACAGATTACCAACAAAGGAGGCTCAATTCAAGCATAAATGCATTGAATTACAAACAGGAATGATTGAAGCACCCCACAATTATGAAATGACCTACAGAATGTTTTATATGTTCGAATAGAAAATGGGGAGGGGAGAATATTCATTCAGTTTTCTAAAAAGCTTCAGCCTTCCAATAGAAGAATGTTTTAAGATAAGGAATAAATATAATTGAATTTAGTCAATTTTAAGTCTATGCAAAGCGCTGACACCAAATATACTAGACCAGCGAACATTGTCAAATCTATGTATTTCTTTAATTCTGGATGAGTCTCTTTGTCAATTATTTTCTCATGCAAATGACCCAATATCTAAAATTCATTCTGCCATTACCATCACCACAATCAACAGGTTGAACATAAATCCTACACATCATCCTTTGTCACTGCCGAATGTTGGCACCCCATGTGCAGTTTGTATGCCACTGTGTCGTGCGCTAATGAAGTAATCAGTGTGCTTCCGTTATCAATTTCACAATCATATATCGTGCATGGAATGATAATGTTAGCATTTTCATCAAGCCTCAGACACCCTTGCATGACGTGGTGCTGATGAGACAGGCTAGGTCTCAGCGGGTTGTTTTCATTATCCAAAGATAATTCGTATAGGGTTTCCCAACCTGTCTTTAGACGGATCATTATTGATAATGAAATGTCATCCTGAATAAGTCTGGGAAGTCAAAAAGATTGCTAAAAGTAACGTTCTCAACTCTGATAAGAGTTTAATCACAAAATGTCTTTGAGGCAAGATTTGATTTGATTTATGGCTACTTTCATATCATTACTACTGTTGCTTTCAAATATAGGTTTTTGTAGGAATCCTGTGTTGGCCAGATAAAAAAAGAGAAAAGATATTTTAATGTCTTTCTCTCAAATATGTTTACATTAGATGAGTTTGTCACATCATAACTGATATGAAAGCCATCCTAAATTTGGTAGTGGAAACAACCCTACAATGAACAGTGGTATAACCTTTGCTTCCTCTTCGACATGTTTGCATCAGATCAATTTTGGTGTGAACACCATACTGAATGAAGAATAGTGGAAACAACCCTCCTATTGATAGGTGATATAACCTTGTCTTCCTATCGGAGGTGTTTGCATGGAGCCTGGTGAGGAGGAAATTCAGTCTGACAGAACCCCGGTGCCACGCTGGAAGAAGCTGCTGCTGTGAATCTCATGTTTCAAAAGTACTTTCTTGAAAGATGTGACACTCTGAGCCCCACCGTGCTGTGATCTGTCATCCAAAGTATTTCCTTTTCGTTCTGTTTGTCCTTTTCTTTCATCATCGTCTATTTTGGATTTGATTCTTCTCACTGTGTATTGATGCCGACTTAATTATTTTCATCCTTAAGATATTGCCATCTCTGTCTTCTTCTGTTCCATTCTTCCAATTTCCTCTTTTTCCTGTGCTTTTAAAAAAGATATCACATTATTTTTGAATATATAAAGACTATATTAGTATGCAGTAAACTTCTTAAGCGTGCTTAAAGTTAATATATTTAAGGATAGGTCTTGGTTAATAGCGATGCCAATGGCATCCTCTAGAAGGCATGGATGTTATCAAGTAGGTGATGTATGGGACTAAAATCCTGGGACTTGCCCATCTTGGTACTGATATCACCTTGGAGATAAGATTAGGCAGGGCAAAACACTAACATGCTCCAGGGACACATGGGCACCCAAAATCTAAGTCTGGACCCCCAAAATTAAA